AAGCTTTTAGGGTAGAGGGTTTAGGGTTTTGGGTTTTGGGTTTAGGGCTTACAAGTTCAGTGGTTCACGGGTTAAGGTTTGAGGGCTTTGAATATAGGATGTTACGCCTGCGATGACTGTGCTGATGATGACGGTGCTGGTGAGAAGTGACGAGCCAGGAGTACTATAGTATTGATGCCTTTCTTCTAGATGTCAGGGCTATGTTGGTAATGATGATGATGACGATGATTTGATGATCAGGAGGGTCAGTACTTTAGCTATGACCACAATTGTTTGTATTGCCGATTGAGCTTGTGTTGTCGGTAGTTTTGACATTGTTCATGGCGAATTTATTGAGTCCGTGTTCGAATTTGCGCACTTCCGGAATCAGATCATGATCAGATATTTTGGATTTTGAGTAGCGTGCATAGTTGGTGGACCTTGAACCAGGCCCAACGCCTGCAGAACCCAATCCCCAGAACTTCTCTACCCCTAAACCCTAAACCCTAAACCCTAAACCCTAAACCCTAAACCCCAGAGCAGACAGAGCACTCAGGAAGCCTCCAGTCCCATGAGCCGCGATACTTAAAGGATCATGGGACTTAGGGTTCCTTAAAGGGCTCCTTAAAGGGATCTATAGGGTTCCTTAAAGGGGTCTATAGGGTTTAGGGTTTAGGGTGCTACTTAAAGGATCATGGGACTTAGTAAGTAATTATAAGTGTAGCTACCCTAGTAATAACCCCAGTTACTAAGTCCCATGATCCTCCAAGTACCTTAGGTCGACGAGATCTGAACATAGGTTTTGCAAAGTTGTGAACATTTTGCACACGTACACTGGGTAATGTAGGGTCCTGGTTAAGAATCCCTGGCCCTGTAACCCCATTTTATGAGGGTTCATATAAGGAACCCTAATAAAAGACCCAAGGTTTCTTCATCATTAGTTTTCTTGAGCTCATGCATATTCTTGGTGCTTATTCAGTGAAACTTTACGGAGCCCCGGCCTGACAATTCGTAACCCAGAGACCTAAACCCCCCCTTCCCAAAACCCTGAATCCCTAGCCCTCAACCCTGAACCCCTGAGCCCTTAACTCTCTCTCTCTCGCATGCGGAAAGTCCGGCGCGACGTGAGCCCTTAACCCTTAATCCTAAACCCTATATATATATATATATATATAGCTACATGTCTTGTTATATATATATATAGAGAGAGAGAGAGAGAGAGAGAGAGAGAGAGAGAGAGAGAGAGAGAGCGAGACCCTAAACTCCGAACCCTGGATGCCGCCTAGCTTTCAGCGATCCCGACCGTGCAGGCGAAGGCGGCAAAGGTCTTCCCTCGGCCTGCGGCCGGCCTGCCGCGAAGTCGCACGATTTTGGGGGTGTGTGGGCGCAGGACGTTCAACCTACCCTACAGCGCTAGCTTCTATTCCTCAACCCCAAACTGCAGGATCAGGGTTCAGGGTTTTTAGCGTTTAGGGCTTAGGACGGGAGTTGTTCATGAAGGATTTCATGAGGGCGTTCTAGAAACTGAAACTGCGCGGTGCCCGTCACCATCCAGCAAGCCTATGCCCAAAACCCTGAACCACAAGTCTTAGTCTTAGTCCTAAACTCTCAAACTCCGAAACCCGAAGCTCCTGACACCCCCGAAACCCGAGGCTCCGCCCGGTGGTGCATCCGCCTACGCAGCGTTGCTGGGACGAGTTGTGCGTAGTTCGGGCCTGTTCCAGCAGGTTTAGTGTGGCAGAAGGGGCCATCGGGTGTTTGTGTTTTTGGAAGTGATTCTAAACCCCTAAACCCCAAATCTCTAAACCCTGAACCCTAAACCCTAAATCTCTAAACCCTGAACCCTAAACCCTAAATCTCTAAACCCTGAACCCTAAACCCTAAAGCTTAAACCCTAAATCTCTAAACCCTAAAGCTTAAACCCTAAAGTACTGCTGCGAGCTTTCGGTCTTCGTATGTGGGCCACTGCGCAGCCGCCCCTTCAGCCCGAAAGCTCCCAGCTCCTAGGCAAAAACATACCTTTAGGGGAGGTATAATCCTATTTATCACTACCCTAAACCCTAAAACCTAATCATTTAATCCCCAAACCCTATAACCCTATAGATCCAAACTATAGTCTCCTTAGGAATTATTTTGTATTCTTGTTCAGGGTTTAGGGTTTAGGGTTTCCCAAAAGAATATTAGAACCAATATTTTTTATCATGATTTAAGGAGGGGATAGTAAACCCTAAGCACAAAACCCGAAACCCTGAAGCTAAGCCCAGAAAATCCAGACCCCCCCGAAAGCCCAGGGAGCCCCGTGGGCCGTTCTAAGCGTAGAGCCTTAACACCCTCAGCCCTAAACCCAAGCCACTAAACCCTACCCGAAGCCGACGCCTGAATTAAAGACAAAACGCTGACCCCTAAACTTGCTAAAGCCCCAGGCTCCAAAGCCTAAATCCTAAATCTCTAAACCCTTAAACGCCCAAGTTTAATTCCCTAAACCCAAACTAAAATCCCTAAGTTTAATTCCCCAAACCCAAACTAAACTCCAGGCTACAACATGAAGCTTCGTCTGGGCAAGGGCTTCACCCTGGACGAGCTCAAGGAGGCAGCTTGGGTCGAAAGGGCTTAGGGTTTAGAGCTTAGGGTTATATATGAGTATATTCGTATCTGAACATATTGGTATATAGGGTTTAGGGTTTAGAGCTTAGGGTTATAGTAGTATATTCGTACCTGAATATATTGGTATATAGGGTCTAGGGTTTAGAGCTTAGGGTTTGGGGTTAATTCATGCCTTCTGTTGGGTTCGTGAGGTTTCATGTTTAGGGCTTCTGGGGTTTCATTTGGGGTTTCTGGGTTTGCGGGTTCGGTTTTGGGCTCATTGGCGCGAGTGTATTTCGGGTGTTGAAAGTGTGGGTAAAGCATTGTGGTGCATAAGGTCGGGAAAGAAGTATTTCATAACGTTCCCTTACGTCTCTGTGTAATGATGCCAGGATGATCACATACTCCAGACTGCTGCTTTGGTGAAGAAGACCCCGATAGTACTAGCAGTAAGAACCCCACATCAGGTCAAGCTGGTAGACTGGGAGCCAGGGGGCAACAAGTACGTATCTATTTAGGTGGCCCGTGTGCTTTGAAAGTTCAAGTGCATGCATGGGAGGCCAAGATCCCCAAGAAGTACGCGAAGACCATCGGCATTGCCATCGACCACCGCCGCAGGAATCGATGCACGGAGAGCCTCCAGGCCAACGTCGAGCGTCTGAAGCTCTACATGTCCAAGCTGCTGCTCTTCCCGAAGAAGGCCGGTGCCAAGAAGGTGCGAAAGGGCGACACCCCGCGCTCCGAGCTTCAGAACGTGGCGCAGAACACTCTCAAGGAAATCATCCCTGTGCCGAAGCCGGAGAAGCGCACTCGCGCGCGTGCCATCACCGCCGAGGAGAAGGAGGCGTCCGCCTACAAGCAGCTGAAGAAGGCCCGCACCAACAAGCACTACCTCGGAGAGCGCATGAAGAAGGCCAAGGACGCTGCCGCCAAGGAGACATGAGCCACAGGGAGCACGACAGTTGGGATCGAAGGGGAAGAGCCAGAAAAGTGGTCAGGGAGCAGCTGCTGTAGTTGATCATCTTGAACCAGAACCCTTTATCCCTAAACCCGGAGAGTGTTTCATTTTTGCAAGTTCTGTGCAATATTCAACTCCCTTATTTTTTACATAGAACACTAACTATCACAAGTTTTGGTGATCGTCGAGATCGACACCTCGTTCAATTTTCAATCTTCCTTTACAAGTTTCTAGCATAGCAGCAAAGCGGTAGGAAGTCTTGATCGACCCCTTCTCTGCCTCAGAACTCTGATGCACCCCAACTGCTGGGGTGTAGGGTTTATAGAAGTTCTCAATATTACGGTCCTTTTTTCCGTCCCCATTCTAATACGGCACCTAGTACTTAGGATACCCAAACAAGGGGCCATAGTTTTGACAACTACCCACATAGACTTCTCAGATCGGGGGTTCTGTCAGGTTTCGGGCGGGTTTTCCTTTTTGTTTTTCCTCTGTCCCTAATTCCGAATCCCTAAGCCAGCATCTTGGGCCATCCACAGGAACGACACGCACGCCGAAGCAGACAGTTTCACTTTATCCTGGGCTTGAGGGTTTACGTGTCAGGGTTTGGGGTCTCTCTTGTCTGAGGAAAGTACAGTGCTCTGTGGAAGTCTGTTTCAGCAGAAGACCCTGGCACCTCAACCCCCAGAGCGTCCTAAACCTGCATCGCCAATGTTTTGCGAGTGGCTTTCGAACTTTTTATGTTTTTTTTTTGTGCGCGTGTTTTTAGTTTCTTCGCTTTTTTCCCTGGGTTGTTGTTTCAGAACTTAGCTGAAGAAACAAACCATAGACTCAGAAGACCCTCTCCCAGAACCCAGTACATCTTAAATCCGGACGCAACTGAACTCAACCCTTTTCCCGACCGACTTCCCACGGAAACTGGGTCTAATCGTTGGGTCGCTAAGTTCCCAAGCCTCAACCAAACCCCAGACCCGAAACCCTACCCTCAGCCGTTTAAGTTCTCGTCGAGCATTTCCTGTGCTGGTTTCGGGTGTGAAGGACTGCAGGAGTGGTTCAGGGTTTCTCGAAGTGCGTTGGGGCTTTCATAAGAAGGATCGCATTTTGCAGGGTCTGCTCTCGGGAGTTGTTCGTTTCTCCGGACTCCCATTTTGTGCGCAATGTACCTGTTTTGGGTATAGGATATGAGGTTGTAAATCCGCGTCGCAGCTTTCGAACGTGTTTCAAGCAGACTAGGATACTGCAGCATTTAGGGTGCAGGGCGCTTGTGGCTTGAAGCGCGTGTCATTTTGCTTTGTAGGTCTAGTGCTACTCGTCCACATGCCAAAGCCGTGCTGCACTGACACTTTCTGTGTCCATTCCGTTTCATCGTTTGCCTCTTCAAGATCTTCCTTGTCTTCATTCTCACTGTCACTACTGCGCGCCCGATGCGGCTTACAAGGAAGAGGCTCAAATAGCTCTGCCTTGTCTGCGGCTTCCAGCAACCATGGGTCACGGAGGCCGAGAGTTGGCCTAGGGTTTCCCCGAGACTGCAAAACCACCTTCCCAGAGAGCCCAATACCCCTTAATTAAGGGATATGGCTTAAATGATAATATGAAGCCCTATATAATTTAAGTCATATTCCTCAATTAAGGGGTATTGGGTTCTCTGGGTTGATTAAGGAACACAACTTTCAAACTCGAGCCATGTGAAGAATCCTTTGTGGTTAAAAGCATCTTCCTTATTTGAGGAGTTTTGGAGTCTCTGGGTTCTGGGCAGTTGAGGGTTTGGGTGGGTAGCTTTCGGGGACATCTCCCATCATGCAGGTCGACCCACCCAAAGGGCAGAGGGTTTAGGACCGACTCCGTGTAAACCCTGCGCATGGGGTAGTCGTTAGAGGCTTAAGGTTCCTCGGGTTGCCAGAGAGCCCAATACCCCTTAGCTAAGGAATATGGCTTAAATCATACTATGAAGCCCTATATAATTTAAGCCACATTCCTTAGCTAAGGGGTATTGGGCTCTCTGGGCTCGGGTTTGCAGGATTTGGGGCATCCCTAGGCCCTAAACCGTATAAGCCCTAAACCCTAAATCTCAGGATGTAGTGCTTTACTTTCGGATTCAGCCTTTACGGCTTAGGATCTTCGGCCCGAGATCGTGGGGCTCCCGACGTGGGCTGCAGACGATCTGGTGTAAGCGCTTTAAGAGAAAGGACAAGGCCCAAGGGCCCGCGTACTTAAGCATGGAGACCCCAACCCGAAATCGCCAAAACCTAGAATTTTGAATCCCTAAGACGTCCACGTTTCAAGTGCTTTCTCAGACAGACTTTTTTGCTGAGCCTCCGGGTCAAGGGCTTGGGTTTTCCACCCTTCCGGTACAATGCCTTGTGCCGCGAGTCGCTAGCCTAGCCTGTCAGCCGCTGTGTGCGCATGCGAGGCAACAATATCATCCCAAATGTGCACTTCCGCAAGGTGCGATGACGGGTTTGCTTCACAAGCCGTTGGGAATTAGGGTGTAGCTTCAGGTTTTAGGATGGCATGTCGGGTTTGGGATTTCGGCATTGCTAGTTACATCCTCATGTGCCATGATATGCAGTGCAGTACAGGATAAACCCCCAACCTGCAATCGCAGCGCGTCGTCATGTGACTACTTGAAGGATCAGGGGACTTAGCAAGCAGGGTTATAGGTACCTTAGTTGGGGTTACAAGTACTTATAAGTACAGTTACCTCACTTATAACTCTACTTACTAAATCCCCCGATCCCTTAAGTAGCGGAGTCACATGCCCAGAGAGTCCAATACCCCTTAATTGAGGAATATATCTTAGATTATATTATGAAGCCCTATATAATTTAAGCCATATTCCTTAAATCAGGGTATTGGGCTCTCTGGGTGCCGCTCAGTTTATGTAGCGTGACATAAAGGACTCACCGCCCAGCAGGTCGCCTTTCAAACTTGCTTAGAGCACTAGAGGGGCCTTAATAATTTCCTATACTATTTTTGGGTTCCTTATTATAACTACAGTATAATGCGCCCCGAAACCCCTACATTATTCAAAGAGATTTCATATGCGGGTTTTGAACAGCTACGGCTCTAGCTACCTTGTTTGTACGCCTAGAGTACTTGCTAAGTTTCCTGATCGTTTAGGTGCATCCGAACTCCTACTAGCAGACCCAGAGACCCGAATACACTTTAATTAAGGAATATGGCTTAAAATATATAGGGGTTCATATTATGATTTAAGCCACATTCCTCAATAAAGGGGTATTGGGCTCTCTGGGTAGTCCTGCACCCTGCACTCGAAGCTGCGACGGAGTCTCTCGAACTAGACCCCAGTTCTGTAGTCCCTCACTTTAGGGTTTAGGGTTTAGGGTTTAGGGGGGACCTTTCTTATTGAGAGGGTCTGTATCCCCAAGGGCCCCCCCTAATCCTAACTCCTAGAATCCTGAACCGACCTGTGTTCGGATGTTGGATGCCCTAGACCCTCAACCGGCTGCCACCACCTCGGCCGACGTCATGTCCGCAAGTTCTCAAGTCCTTGCCAAAAAGTTGAGATCCTAAGCCCGAACCCCTTAACTTTCAACCCTACGGCCCTTACCCAGATAAACCTTAAACCCTACAGCCCTGCACCTTGCAGAAACTGGCAGAAAGCCTCAGAAGATCCCAAACCGGCCCAAGACAAACTACAACAAGACCTGCATGCCCAGATCAATGGCTGCCAGAGCGGGCGCAAGAACCGCGTCTTCATGCGCACATGGCTAGATCAGGCAGGGTCAACATTAGGGCTTTGAATGGGCTGCTAAAGGGGTGTAATCTTGGGGCAAGTACAAGTATCAGAGCTTTAAAAGCAAGTTGTAAGGTTTTTGTTTGCATTTAAAGCGGCCTGAAGACATAGCAACATCATTCCTGTGGGTTCAGCAACCGCCGCGAAACCCATCGTCAGACTATTTCGGCTCCTTTTTTGTTTAACGCCGGTTCGGGTTTGGAAAATAGTCTTCGGTAGTATCAGGGAGACCCCTAAAGGGGACCCTTCTTAACCCTACTTCTGGCTCTCTTAACAGGGACCTTGTCGGGAGGGTCTTTGTCTCCACGGGTCCACCTGATCCGAACTCCTATACATGAAATCCCTACCCAAAGCCCCGGGAGGATCCAAGAAATAGATCCCTTAATGGGGGTTCCTAGAAAGTACCCTTAGTAGTATGGGGCCCCAAATCAGGGGATCTACTTTCTAGATCCTCCCGGGGGTCTGGGTAAACCCTAAACCCTAAACCCCTCTAAACCCTAAACCCTAACCCTAAACTGAAATCATAAACCCTAAAACCCGATCAGCCTTAAAGCCTTCAACCCTGAACCCTAAACATACGGTGAATGGACAAACTCCTGCATTACCCTAAGTATGGTATGGTACCATAAGTCCCATACTTTAGGTATATAGGGCCATGCAGGATTTTGTCTATCAGAAGTAGTAAAAGGACCTGAGGCCCTCCAACCTAACCTCCCGGCCGGCAAAGCCCAAGCCAGGCAAAGCCTGCAAACCCAAACTCCAAGCATTCGCAACCTCAAGCGGGAGTTTCCGAAAATTAGGGGAACCTTACTTTGGGGGTCCTTTAAAGGGTTGCTATGAGGGTACTATAGGGGTTCTATAAAGGGTTTAGGGCTTAGAGTTTCCGCAAATTAGGGGTACCTTACTTTGGGGTCCTTGTAATAAGGATCCTACTAGTTAGGGTACTATATTTGGGATCCCGATTTCCGGAAACTCCCATATATATATATATACACACTTAGTAGCTGAGTGGATACACTTTACACTTTTTGGGAGAATACTACCCACTCTAGAACTAAAAGTGTACACTTTTTGGGGCTTATGAACTCAGCAATTAATTTTAAACTCCAAACCTCCAAATCCCTGAACCTTCGACTCCCTGAACTCGAACCCTACCCAGACCCCCGGGAGGATGCAAAAAGTAGATCCCTCAATGGGGGTTCCTACAAAGTGCCCTTAGTAGTATAGGGCCCATCTACTTTCTAGATCCTCCCGGGGGTTTGGGTAAGTTCTAGTCTTAGAAACTAGGCGCTGGGAATATTTTAGCAAAATAGAACTATAGGGACCATAAAGAGGTATTTTTCAAGTGATTCAGACCCCAGGTTCAGCAGGGTCGAGGGTGCAGGGCCAAGATAGCATTAGGGTTTAAGGCCTATTTTTTTGGGGATATGTGGTTTCAAACTAGGGTTTTGGAAGGTCTTTCTGCTGATACTGTGGCTTATGCAATTCCAGTGGAACACACCCTAAAGCCTCGTTGTACATGTTGATTCCAGGATCCTTTTGAGACAGCCGTGAGCTCAGCTAACCCGCAAACTTAAAATGTATTGAAAGGCTGAAATCAGAAATCCTAAAGGTCAGACCCGACATCCGAAATCCTAAGAACTCTTCGCTCTAAACCCGAAGTCTTGGAAAGAAGTTCAACCCCAAGTGAGAAGCCCTAAACCCTACACTCTCAATCCTAAGCTCTAGGAGAGTTGTAGGATTGTAGGCCTTTGGTAATGTTTGGTAGGGTTTTGTGTGGTATGTCTTAGAAGCTGCCCCCACCCTGCAATAGTGACTATAAGGATTATATCAGGGCCCTATTATATTCCTATTATACCACTATTACAGGGTGGGGGCCCCTTCTAAGGTATGTCTTTAGGGTTGCAGACGAGGATCCTTTTTCCCCTGAACCCCCGAACCCTAAACGCGAAAGACTGTCCAGGCCGGCCGCAAGAAGCGACGCTCCAATGCCAGGAAGGCCGGTGCGGGACTCTGGGTCACATCCTCGGGGTGGTTGAGCCATGGTAACAAAAGTTTCAACGACCTTGCAGAACCCGATATATCCTTGTGAACAGTCCAAAACATGACAGAATCCTACAAGCCCTTGTAAAGCTTTATGAATAACTCTTTAGAACCCAAAAAACCCTAAGGTTAAAGCTTTACATAATCACCAGGTAATTCTAGAGATCCATGTAAAGTTTCTTAAATACATGATAGATCTCCAATATCCTTGTAGAGCCTTATGAACAACCGGTTAGAATTGCCTGAAACCCAAACCCTAAACTTATGGCTGCGGTTGCCCGCCTGCTGTGGGTGAGGCGCTCCTAATCGGGTTTGGTAGCGGAGCCTGTTTTCCCGGGGGCCAGTACTCTTCGCCTACTATGTGAGATTTCCTTGTGGTCATAAGGCAGAGAGATGTTGACCAAGATGGACCGAGCTGAGTAAAGGTCTAAACCCCAGAAGGAGAAGGTTTGGGTGGCCGGGCTGCCACCAACGGTGCGGGGAGCGCTCGATCAAGCCTTTTGATGCATGACTTCAACGGCCACGCGCAAGCCCGACACTACGCACCTTCATTTGACAAAATCCAAATGTGGGAGTTTCTCGGGTCCTTATAAGGATCCTACTAATTAGGGTAAGCTTCTGACCTCTCGCGAGGCAAAGGCGGCGAAGGTGTTTCCACGACCCGCTGCCGGCCTGCAACCTGGCTGCGATGGCTTTGGGGTTTTGGGGTTTGGACCTATAAGAGTTCCTTTAAAGGGATCTATAGGCGTTGAGGTTAAGGGTTTAGGGTTTGGGTTTGGGGGTTTGGACCTATAAGGGTTCCTTTAACGGCATCTATAGGCTTTGGGGTCAGGGTTTAGGGTTTGGGTTTGGGCGTTTACGGTCCCTTGAACTGAACGGATCCTAACCAAAGGCATCTTGTAGGGTTGTATTTAGATACTTGTTTGGGGTTACGGGGGTCTGAGGGGATTTAGGACAGAGGACTTTGGGGTACACGGGTTACAGGGGTCGTAGGGGTTGGAGGGGTTCTGGGATTAGTTAGGGTTTTGAGTTTGCTATTTGGGTAGGGGGTTTGGGCTACAGGCGTTGTAGGGCTTTAGGCTTCCATTGAGATTATTGCCTTTTGAGTGTTGAGGACTCCCGGCTCAGGACGTTTTCCGTGGGGCATTTGAGTTACAGGATGACAAGGTTTTGTGGATGTTCTTGTGGTCCTATGATTAGTTCGAGGCGCAGAGAGAGGAAGTTGATAACAACGGGTTAGACAGTCAAAGGTCTGCGTAGAACGATCAAGTATCCAAGTAAAGTACAGAGCCCAGAAGAAAACAAGCCGTTTTCGCAGTTGCCGTTGATGTGTGTTCCGGAAGTAGCATTGCCATGACCGATATCGTGAAATCGGCGGTAGTGGCGACAGTGATGCCGAAGATGCTGTTGATGGTCGTAGCAGTGATGCATTATTTGTTGATGTCCGTGCCCTTCTGCCGTAAGTACGATGCTGATTGTCTCTGCTATCCTCATCGACCTCTTGACTTCTATGTGCAGACGACAGAATAATCAGTGGGCAACACAGCTGTCAGGAGCATGATCCAATCACCCTCAACGCTAAACCCTGACTCAGGTTGCGGCCTGTGGTGCATCCGCCTACACAGCGCTGCTTGTCTGAGTCGGGGGGGGGGGGGTGCTTGATGCGATATCGTCGACCTTACCGCGGGATGATAGTCTTACAACTTACATTTTGTAGTTTCCTTAGTTGTAGCTGGGTCATAAGAACAGTTGAAGTTAGGTTAGAAGCACGTTAAGCCCCAAGCTGAGAACCGAAGCTCTATACCAAAACTGCTTCATGCTCCTGGGCCCAGATTCGTGAACGAACGCCCCCGGCCAAGATCCTGAAGCCCGTCTAAGTCAGATACGGTTTAGGGTTTTAGGGTTTAGGGTTTTAGGGTTTAAGGGTTTAAGGGTTAGGGTTCAGGGTGACCAATGATCCTGAACCCTAAACCCCAACCACCCTAAGCCCTAAAGCTCGTTAAATCCTGAATCCCCCAGTCTATAGATGCAGACCTCTGAACAACCTGTGAGTGTCGACCCCTGACCCTAAATCCGAGATGCAAAACTTAAAGCCGGGTCTAGGATTTAGGGCTTCTGGTTTGGGGTTTAGGGTTTAGAATTCAGGGCTTTTGGTTTAGGGTTTAGGATTTAGGGCTTGTGGTTCAGGGTTTGCAGTGAGGGTCAGCAGGTTGGGGATTCATGGAGGTTCGCAGCCCCTCGGCTAAGGATGCCGTATGAAAGAGGCGAAATCGTGGGGCGTGTGGATTTTTTGTCCTTGGGTTCCTGAAGTTTCGGATTCCCTTTTGTGGCCCCAGGCCCTAAACCCTAGCAGAGGACTTGCTCCAAGTACAATCGCGTTCCAACCCTAAAGTCATAGGGGCCAAAGGGGTTTTAGCCTATGGGGGTTTAGTAGGGATTAGGGTTACCATAATAGGGTTTATTTTAAGGAATCCCTACCTCAAGAATCTTAACCCCCCCCCTTTTGCCCTCCCATCATAAAGCTTCAAAAGAAGAGTGTTGGCCTCAAGAGTTCCATGTGGGAGTCTCCGGAAGGTAGGGGTACCTTACTTTGGGGTCCTTATAAAGGGTCCCACTATTTTGGGTAGTATATGAGGGGTACCTGACTTTGGGGTCCTTAGAATAAGGGTCCTGCTATTTAGGGTGCTACGTTAGGGTTCCCTATTTTCGGAAACCCCCCATGTGTTGGGAGAGCTGTGAGACAAAGGAGAAGCGAGCATTCGAGGTCATCCCCGTAGTTGCTTCAGGTGCCACATCACCACTACTTGGAGGTTCATGGGTAGTTATAATTGGGGTTCGAAGTCCCCTAATATGGGTTAAAACAATTGGGGTTATAAGTCCCCTAATATGGGTTATTATAACTATGGGTATTCTACCTTTAACCCTACTTATAACTACACATGAACCTCCAAACAGCCTTGTCGAGTTTGTGGGATTCGCCAGCGGCTCCAAGAGGTGTAGTTTGAAAATCACAGCCCTGAGGCCCAAGCTTCCTGAGCCTTCCTGAGCCCCGAACCCTAAAGCCCTGAGCTTCCTAAGCCCTAAAGCCCTGAAGCCCTACTAGGCCCTAAACCCTAAGCCCTAAAGCCCTGAACCCCTACTGGGCCCTAAACCCTAAACCCTGAAGCCCTGAAGTTCTTAAACCCCGCCACAGCCCTGAGCTTCCTCAGACGGTTTAGGGTTTAGGGTTTAGGGTTTTGGGTTTAGGGTTTAGGGTTTAGGGTTTAGGGTTTAGGGTTTAGGGTTTAGGGTTTAGGGTAAACTCCAGGCTACAACATGAAGCTTCGTCTGGGCAAGGGCTTCACCCTGGATGAGCTCAAGGAGGCAAATGGTCTTCTTGTCGGAGCAGCTAAGGATTTAGGGTTGCAGGGTGTAGGTTTAGGGGCTTAGGGTTGTGGGGTTCGGATTTGAAGTTTGGGGCTTAGGGTGTAGGTGAATGTTGAAGCGCATGCATGGGAGGCCAAGATCCCCAAGAAGTACGCGAAGACCATCGGCATTGCCATCGACCACCGCCGCAGGAATCGATGCACGGAGAGCCTCCAGGCCAACGTCGAGCGTCTGAAGCTCTACATGTCCAAGCTGCTGCTCTTCCCGAAGAAGGCTGGTGCCAAGAAGGTGCGAAAGGGCGACACCCCGCGCTCCGAGCTTCAGAACGTGGCGCAGAACACTCTCAAGGAAATCATCCCTGTGCCGAAGCCGGAGAAGCGCACTCGCGCGCGTGCCATCACCGCCGAGGAGAAGGAGGCGTCCGCCTACAAGCAGCTGAAGAAGGCCCGCACCAACAAGCACTACCTCGGCGAGCGCATGAAGAAGGCCAAGGACGCCGCCGCCAAGGAGACATGAGAATGAGAGTGAGAATAAGAGCGAAGTGCTGGGACCGCAACAGGAGAAGAGCCAGAAAAAGCCGTCTGCGGTAGAACTACTGACGTAGAATGCTGAATTTTTTTCAGCATATATCTTGTTGCCGACGGATCCAGACTGATACATTTCCCGAGTTTTCGCTGTGCGAAGTTGAATGTTCAAAATATGTCTATGGCCTACGAGATTATTCAGAGACATGTAGGTTGCTGTTCTCACCATCGAATACTTTGCCATTCTTTCGCAAGAATGGGGTTCTCATGGTGGGTCCAAGGGATAGAATCAGTTTTTACAGTTGATCTTCTTATGTTGATAAGGGCTCTGATATAGGTGGCATTTGGGGCAAGACTTGCGACGCGGAGCGTAGTCTCGCGAATTTGGTTGATAAGCAATAATCTCTGCGTAAAATTTGAAATTCGCAATATTACAAATTCGATAGTCTATTTAAAGATACTACTTATACAACCATGTACAATCTAATGCTCAATTTTTCAATCCTTTTTGATTTCGATAGGTCGATATTTCTTGGAATCTTTCTTTCGAATATTTAGATGTAGATTCGACTAACTAATTATATATATATATATATATATTGAATTCAGGGTTCTCATATACTGAAAGAATTGGAAGGCATGACTTCAGAGAAATATCATTTTGTAGATATAACTAAAACTATATTATTTAAAATATGAATTATAATAAATATATTGAACAAGAAGGAAAAACTAGTCAAATACACAGATAGATATAGAGGTGAAATAGAAAATGATTGGTCAAAACAACAGTATCAAAAGATATCGAGATTTTCACAGAATCAAAGTACGATACAAAATTTGAATACTCATACCACGAGGACATAATATCAATTGAAAATAGAAGCTCGTTAGCTAGAATGTTTATTGTTCCGTTATCTATTTCGACTAATATAGTGATATATATTCTGCTATATCTATCATTAATTCGATATATATATATATGTTTATATAGACAACAAATTCTTTTTTCTGCAATATTTTCGAATATCATCCGAAATCTTTTTGATTAATGGAAAATTTTCTTTTCAGACTAAGTTTTTGATTAATCTAGAATTGTTCAATAGAGTGTGCTAAATCTTTCATAAATTTGAATGATCTTTAAAAGAGTTCATAGTTTAAAGAATTCATTATTCTTTAGAATTGTAGTGATTTCTAATTCAGCAATCTGAAGTAAAGCATATATGAACTCGTATTCTCATCGCTAGGAGTCTTATAGATAGAGTCAGATTTTTATCTAAGTCCTTTTCTGACTATATAAAGCCTCTTCCGATTACAGGGTCTATATTCTAATTGACGGCTTATTTGGAAGACACCGGAATGATCTCTTCTTTTCAAGTTTTTTGCGGTTATCCGTATGATATGGCCTACGACGGATTAATTTCGATAGATATGTTGATTTGATGTCGGCAAAAGGAGAAAAATTGATTTTCCATTTATTTTTAGAAGAATCTCTATATGTCATATTCTATTTCATCCTAATTTTTCCTATATATTTCCGGACATCAAATTGTTCATTTCATAAATTTCAGAAGAATATAAGACTATCATAGAATGAGTTATTTAATTCAATAAATACGGTATATATATTGAAATCGAGAATCGATCTTATCTATCTAATAATCTCGAGATCTATCGCAATCTTCATTTTATAGACGTTTTGAAATCAAACTATAGATTCAATAGATTTGCCGAACTCTAATGAAATGGATAACTCCACATGAGTATATCTGTAGATAGTGATGAACGAGTGGATGAGCCCTCTAAAGCCTTCCAGAGGAGTGTGCGCGGTGTTGAGTGTGCAGTGCAGGTGTTGTGTTGTTGTATTGTGCGTGGTGTTGGGTATGCTGTGCGTCTGTTGTGTATTGTGTCGTGCGTATTGGTGGGTGTGCTGTGTTGTGTGCTATGATCTGTATGCTGTGCGGTGTGTGTGTGTGTGTTGTATGTATTGTGCGTGTTGTGTGTGTTGCATGTGCTGAGTGTGTTGTGTGTGCTGTGTCTTGTAGATTGTGTCTTGTGTGTGTTGTGTGTGGTTGTGTGTGGTTGTGTGTGTTCTGTGTGTTGTGTGTGTGTTGTCTGTGGATTGTATGTGTTGCGTATTTTATGTACGTTGCGTTTTGTATAATGAGGCTATATATATATATATA